ATGTGGAGCACCCTTTTTAAATAAGGGACAGGCCGGAGATTTTCTACTTATCAACATCAAGTCTTATTGGAGGCCCCCGATAACCCAAAGGTGGTCCTGTTGGAGGTATGGAGGTAAGTGGAGGTGTGAAGGCCCCCCCCCCCAAAAAAAAAATATCACGGCAAGCCCCGCCAGCTTAATGGCATACCCCGATAGTAAGACCGGAGACCTACCTGACCAGTAATGAAAATAGTGATTGAGGCTTAACGTCTCACCGACTACCAAGCCAAATTCAGGACGGGACGCCTTCATTAGGAGCATGCGGGATGCAGTAGTAGCGTGGTAGGGACTCGAACCCAGAACCGACAGCCCCAGAGCCGAATGCCCTAACCAGGGGTGCAGTTTCCTATCCAGTGTGGAGGTAGGGGTGGTTTCAGCCCCCCCCCCCCCATTGAACTCCGCTCCCTCTAGCTTTGATGGAAAGCTGGACACAATCCGGGGAGAAAAGAGTGCACTTGGGAACTTTTCGGGGTAGATTATATCATTTTCTGCCCGTTCAGGCCCCGTAACTCACTTTCAAAAACTGCACCCCTGGCCCTAGCCATTATACAAGCCGTGATCCCCTCCCCCTAGGCCAGGACAAAGCTTTGTTTTACAGTGTGCTATTAAGAGACTTAAGAAAACGAGTCGCGTGAAAATGTAATGTATATATATATATATACCCGCTCTCTCTTTCTCTCTCCCCTCTCTGTTTGTGTGTATGTGTTTTTCTGGGAAGATGATATTTTTAGGAAACATCTTCCGGGTAGGAATGTTCCATGTCATTTAAGGAGACTCAATGCTTGCCCCATGTTTGCTTACCCGTTGCATACAATGGCTTGCCGCTTGCCTGCGCCTGCTTGTCGCTCGCCTGTTATCTGCTTGCCGCATACTTGCCCTATGCCTGCAACCAGGAAAAGTCGCTGCCCCCCCCCCCCCCCCTCCCCCCTGCGCCGGTGTTATCTACTGCCACGCGGTTCAAACGCCCCAGAGCAATCCCGGTGAACGGCACTACCTGCTTATCGGCTTTATCGATATTATCGATATCACACTAAGAGCACGGAGGCGGCACACTCGCCAAGGCTCAGCCTCGCCCGTGGGGATCCCGAGGCTCAGCCTCGCTCGTGGAGATCGCCATTTGGGACATTTTGAGCTGACAGTCGTATGACAAGTTGTGATCACGTGGTTACAGTTCAACTGTCGTGCGTGACTGTGCATTGCCTTGGTTTGCTTTATGTCTCCTGTAATGTACTCGACTGGAATGGAAAGAAGCCCGCTGCGCGAAATGATCCCAAATAAACTGAACTGAACTGAATGGAACTGAACTGAACTAAATGCAACTGAACTGAACTCGAATTCAATGCCCGATGCGGACGCCAGAGTTTGAGCATTTCATCATGCTCTTTCAATAAGGCACTACTTCTTCCCGATCTAGACACTGTCATTAGACATGAACTGCACTTGTCCAGAGCGTAGCCAAGGGGGGGGGGTTCCATAAGTTTGTTTTTAAGTATATCCATGGGGATACCTAGCACCAGTGCGTAGCGCTTGGTGATGGAAGGATTGATTAAACGTCAACGACCTATAAGAAACGAGGCAAAAATGTGGCTGGCTTGGACTTCTCTCACAGTTAGCTTGCTTTTGTTCTCAACAAGCACAGCCCATCCCTTCGCTTCGGATCTTCGGCTTTTCAGCATAACTGGCTGGCGACAGAAAGGCAATAATTGCCAGTGATGCGGCCTCGCCGAGCTTTGCCTGCTTAACAAAACCCTGGCTGCGCCCTGGCACTCGCAGATGCAGCTCCGCGGCGCCCAGCCGCCCGCTGACCCCGCCGAACGGCGGGGAAGCCCCCCGCTGACTTGGCCGGTGCAGATAAGCCAGCTGGCCGCGCTGACCGACTCGTCGGGTGCGGCTGAGCACAGATACGCCCCTGCCGTCGGCGAAGACGGGCCCACTCTGCAGACCCCTGTCGGTGCAAACCTTCGCCGCCCGCCGGTGAGTTCAGACAGACGGACGGACAGGCGGACAGGCGGACCGGCGACAGGGGACAGACGACAGGTGACAGGCTTGGAGGCAAGCTCTGGCGCCTGAGTCGTCTGAGTCGTCTGAGTCGTCTGAGTCACGGCGTCGCGGTGACTCCGAAGGGAGGATGAGTGGGCGTGCTAATCTTTTGGAGGCACATTAGGCGCCTCGCGTGGCGTTCGAGGCGTAAGCTGTTCGGTACTGTGAGTCACGGCCCGACGGGCGTAGGCAGGCCTCAAAATTGTCGAAACAAAGTCTGTTCTCATGCCATTTTTTCCTTCCCGTGGGTTACGGTGCACGTTTGCATGATGTTTGTGGGTAACGTTTACTTTTTGCGCATTTGTGCGTTTTGCGAAAATGCACCGGAAAAGCCTTGCCGAAATGCATTTTGGGGCCGGTGCAAAGCCACGCATCATGGCAAGTAATAACAGCTCATCACGAGAGGCGCATGGGCCGGAAAACACCATGAAAGTCGGTTATTTTCATTTATCATTGCAGGGATAAAAGCATACTTTCAAGAGAAGTGAGCTTTCCCATCCCCCGCACCTTGTTCTCACAGCTTTGGAGTGACTCATGCCGTCAGTGGCAAACGATGCCGTCGGCTGCACTTGTCAAGAATGACGTCAAACTTGCTACGACAGGCTGCGAAATCGGCGCAAAGAAATTTAACATCATGTGCTGAAGCCCATTGAGTGGGGTGGCAACGAGACAGTTCAAAGCAATGTTACCAAAAATGAGCTTCTGTACTGGCGCGAGGCTCATCGCTGAGTCAAACAGATAACGCTCAACCGAGAGCAAACAATGAAAGCAGCCTCGACCAATACAGAATTGCTCTTAAATCTTGATAAATTCCTAGTTTTTAAAACGGCCGATGCAGGATCCCCTCTCCGGCAATGTTGCGCATTCGAGAGTGCCTGCCAAAAAAGTGCGTTGTTTGCGATGAAAACAGCATACAAAAAGGCACCTGGCATCAAGGCAATTCATTCAAGCTCGACAGAAGGCCTATGGTTTTTCCTTTCTGTTAAGAAACGAGAGAAAAAAACGAAGCAAAAGTGACATGACTTTCTGCAGATTGAAGCACCAGCCGTCGCTCAGGTTTGATACGCCACTGTTCAAAACTACTTGACCTTACGCCAAAAAATGAGGCTCACATTCGTGAAATCATTCCGGGGACAGATCTGCAGATGAACGTTGGGCTTAATCGGAACTGCGCTCTAAGTGTTAAAACACGACGCCAAGCAAAACAGCACGAAGGCGTGTAGATAACTACCTACTATCTCGTCCATTGACACTGTCCGCCCCGGCAATGCTCCCGAAGCGCCCTCCTGGTAGTCAATATGTCACAAAGAACTGACAGCGTGCGGTATCCCTCCTTAAGGGACGAAATACACAGATTTGCACAGACTCCTGTTCGCATTTCTCACAACAATTTAACTAGCAAATAAATTTATGTTTTGGGAGAGGCCGACGATTGAACATGACTGAGTTAAACGCATCTGTAACGTCCATTATTAATTGCTTTCGGTGGATCAAGTAAGCCAGCCCAAAAATACTGAGCCCGCCATTGTCGGCAATTTCATAAAAAGTATACCATATGCACCACCATATTCAACCTACCAGGAGCATCGACATACAGCTAAGGAAATGTCGACTTTTATGTGTAAAAGCACGGCACCTTAAATCATGCTCATCTCATTTCAAGGCCGCATGCAAAGGCAAAATATCATTTCCTGTCACTTTCTATTTGCATGCGGTGTAACATGATGTACGTGCACAATGCTTTGTACAGACTATTTAAAGATCCCATGCATTCATGACGCCATAGCAACGTTATTAAAATCCTTCCAATACATTGGCCATGCAGCGATCAAGGCCAGGAAACTACAATTGTCGAATCGTTCATATCTGGAGCTCGTGAGCACAATTTCCAGATAAAACGGCCACCCATTGGCTCTCAATTAGTGTTGTGCAAGGTACGATGACGCAATCAAACAACGGCGGATCATGGAGCATATTTGCTAAAACCAGATATGGTGCTCTCGAGAGCCATCTTTCCACATAAAGTATTCCAATTATAAGGACTGAGCGTGTTTCATCCTATTTGATGCTTGCTTTGATATATTCACATGTGGAATATTCCTTTAACCAGAGCTGATTGCACAAACGAAAAATGTTTCTTTTCAGATGGAGGCAAACATGACAAGAGCAAGCAGATTCTCTCTTCGGGAGAGAACCATACTTTTCGTCTCCATGTTGAAAATCTGGAGTCAATTCTTCTTGCTGACGACGTCATAGATAAGCCCGTCGTGCCGATCTCCGTAGCCGGCGCGTTCCGCAAGGGAAAATCGTTCCTGCTCGACATGATGTTTCGCTATCTATGCGCGAAGGACAAAACCAACTGGATGAATGAGGAGCCCCACGGCGTGGGGTTTCCATGGCAGGGCGGCTATAAACGCCACACCACTGGTATGCTCATGTCAAGCCCTGTTCCGGTGACTCTGCCATCGGGAGAGGAGGCTGTCGTCCTGCTCGTGGATACACAGGGAGCATTCGACAACAAGTCAACGGTCGCGGAGTCGGCTACGGTGTTTGCACTCAGCACGCTGCTCAGCTCCCTGGTAGTCTTCAACTTGATGAATAACGTGCAGAACGATGATCTGGAACATCTGCAGCTGTTCACAGAGTACGGTCGCATGGCGCTCGATGATGAAGGCAGCGGCGCACCCTTCCAGAAGCTACTCTTCCTTATCCGTGACTGGCAGTTCACTGAGATTTCGCTGGGAGCAGCCGGAGGCAAGGAAGTTATTGACGAATGGCTCAAAGAACCCAGTGGGAATCAGGAGCAAGAAAAAGTCCGCAAGCATATAAGAGATTGTTTTACTGAGATCAGCGGATTTCTACTGCCATATCCCGGAAAGAAAGTCGCCTGCGGCGGAAAATTAAACGTATGTGCTGGGGACATGGAGGAGGACTTTGTCCAGTATCTGAATGAGTTGATGCCCATTCTCCTGGCACCAGGGAACCTGAAGATCAGAACGGTCGCAGGCAATCCCATGAAAGCCCGAGATCTGGCAAACTACCTGAAAATGTACCTGGACCTGTTCAAGGGCGACGAGATCCCCAAGCCACAGAACATTCTCCAAGTGACGGCCGAGACCAACAACATGGTAGCACGCCAGGAAGCGAGGTTACAGTACATCAAAGACATGGAGAGTGTCCTGGGCGGCGACAGATCTGCGCTGAGTGAAGGCGACCTGTTCAGGCATCACATTGAATCCACGCACAGGGCTGAAACCACGTTCAAGAACCGCAAGAAGATGGGAGACTGGAAAGTATCGGAATTCAACCACGGCGAACTGCTCAAGGAGATGGAAGAGTGGTTTAAGCCCGTTGAGAGGCTCAACAAGATAAAGCTTGAAGAAGAACGGCTGAAGGCGGAAAAGTTTAACGCGAGCCTGAAAGAGTCCTGCAGAACGACCTATGCACAAGCAATGCAGACCGTGACTGGTGAGGAGATTGGGCATGTTCCACCCCAAGAGCTAGACAGAGTACACGGTTGCGCGATGAAAAAGGCCCTCGCGCGGTTTGATGCCGAGAAGGCTGGTGCTGACAAGACTTTAGAATGTCGTTCTCGTCTAGCTGATGCCATCCATTCTGAGCACAAACAGATTATGCTCCACAACGAAGTAAAAAAGGAGGAAAGAACACGGCAATGTGCGCAGCAAAACTCCAACGCGGTGAGGATGTCGAAGGAATGCTACCAGGCTATGATGGACAGCACGACTCAAAACAGCTCTATCTCGGATGAAGAACTGAGACAGGGTCATACAGAAGCACTGAAGGCAGCCGAAGAGTTGTTTGAGGGGCTAAAACAGGGTAGCGAATCCCTCTGTTCTATGTACCGAGAGAACATGGTTGCGGACTTGACGTCCAGGTTTGGTGACTACCAGCGCTCAGTTGAAAATGAGGTGAAGTTGAAGAACTTGGTCAACCAAATATCAGACCTTCACCACCAGGTGAAACAGCAAAAGAAAGACCTTGACAGCAGATGGTGCAGTGTAATGTGAGCA